CTGATTCTGCTTGGCCTGCTGTGTTCATCCAGCTCTACACCTTGTTAACCCACCATTTTATTCAGCCAGGGCTCCTTGATGGGACCACGTTAACAGCCCCAATCTGGGAACTCATATTCTATGAGGCCTAGCTGGCTGACCACATTACAATCACTGCAATAAACCACTTCTGTGAATTCACTCCACAATCCCCTTCTGTTGTGTCTGAATGTTTTCCCCTCAGGGTCTGGTGTAAAACGCTGGTTTGAGAATTTGTGAACTGTTGAGAATCATAGAATCCCTACAGGCTGGAAGCAGGCCATTCAGCCCATCAAGTCCACACTGAAGTGCGTTCCACCCAGACCCACACCCCCATCCCATAACCTTGGATTCCCCATGGCTAATCCACCTAGCTTACACATCCCTGGGCACTATGGGGTACTTTAGCATAGCTAATCCATCCAACCTGCACATTTTTGGACAATGGGAGGAAACCGGAGTGCCTGGAGGAAAGCCCACACAGACAAGGGAAGAATGTGCAGTCCCAAAAGCAAAAGTCTACTACCATCTCTGTCTTCTACTTTCAGATCAATGTTGTATCCAGATGTTTAGTTGTCCATGGATACTATGTGATACTGACCTTGCTAATCAGTCTACCATGAGAAATCTTGCCGAACACTTTACTGAAGACCATATAAATAACATCCACCCTTCTGCTTTCATCAATCTTCCTCATCACTTCTTTAAAAAACTCAATCAAGTTAGTAAGACATGATTTCTCACACACAAAGCCATGTTGACTATCTGTAATCAAACCTTGTCTTTCCAAATACATGTAAATCCTGCCCCTCAGAATGCCCTCCAACAACTTTTCCACCACTGATGCCAGGCTCACTGGTCTGTAGTTCCCTGGCTTTTCCTTATCACCTTCCTTAAGTAGTGGCACCACATTAGCCAACCTCCAGTCTTCCGGCACCTCATCCATGGCTATCGATGGTACAAATATCTCAGCAAGTGGCCTAGCACTCACTTCCCTTGCTTCCCACAAAGTTCTAGGGAACACCTGATCCAGTCCTGAGGATTTATCGACCATTATGCGTTTTAAGACATCGGGCACTTCCTCTTTTGTAATATGGACACTTTTCACACTGTCACTATTTATTTCCCCAAGTTCTCTAGCTTCCACATCTTTCTCCACAATAAATACTGGCGCAAAATACTCAGTTAAAATGTCACCCATCTCCTGCAGTTCCACACATAGGCAGCCTTGCTAGTCTTAAGGATTAAAGGGGCCCTATCCTCTCCCTAGTTACTCTTTTGTCCTTAATGTATTTGTAGAGCCCCTTTGGATTCTCCTTAAATGTATCTGCCAAAGTTAACTCATGCCTCTTTTTTGCTCTCCTGATTTCCCTCTTAAGTTTACTCCTACTGCCTTTATACTCTTCTAGAGATTCACTCAATCTCTGCTGTCAATGCCTGACACATGCTTCCTTCTATTTCTTGGCCAGAGCCTCAATTTCTCTAGTCATCCAGCATTCCCTAAACCTACCAGCCTTGCTCTTCACACTAACTACTGTATCTGGACTCTCATTATTTCATTTTTGAAAGCTTCCCACTTTCCAGATGTCCTTTTACCTGTGAGCAGCATCCCCAATCAACTTTTGAAAGTCTTTGCCTAATACCATCAAAATTAGCCTTCGTCCAATTTAGAACTTTAACTTTTAGATCAGGTCTATCCTTTTACATCACTATTTTAAAACTAATAGAATTATACTCACTGGCTCCAAAGTGCTCCCCCACTGACTCCTCAGTCACTTGCCCTGCCTTATTTCCCAAGAAAAGGTCGAGTATATATAATGAATAAGAAAATTGTCATGTAGGTGCTTAACAAATTCCACTCCACCAAAGTCATTAACGACATGGAGTCCAGTCTATGTTTGGAATCTCACTATCTCCCTGGGTCCCAATACCCATTCCTCTGGGCGTTGAGACCCACTCGCACTGGGGAGTTTAAATCCTCCACAGCAGCTCTAGTAAATCTCCTTGCCATTATGTTAGTCTCCTTCCAATTCAGGTGCAATCCTCCTTATACAGGACACTGCTGCCCCAGAAGAGATTCCAATGATCCAAAAATGCGAATCCTTCTCCCTGCACCGGCTCCTCAGCCACACATTCTGCCACCATTATAACCCTATTATTCTTGAAGATAACTGAAATCTCCTTACAAATTTGTTTCCCAATTTCCTGCTGACTATTTGAGTTGGGAGGTTTATAATACGATCCCAATGAGGTCTCAGTTCCATTCAAATATCTTCACTGGAATTACTCCCTGGAATATCCTTCCTAAGTACAGCCGAAATGTTATCCCTAGCCACAATCACCCCTCCCCCTCCTCTCTTGCCCACCTTTCTATCCTTCCTTATAGCATCTATACCCTTGGAATATTAAGCTTCCAGTCCTGTCCATCCTGAGCCACATTTCTATAATAGCTATGATAGCCCAGTCCCATGTTCCCAAACATGCCCTGAGTTCATCTGGCTTACCTGTCAGGGCTCTTGCATTGAAATAAATGCAGTTTAATTTATCAGTCCTACCTCGTTCTTTACTTTGTTCCTGCCTGCTTTGACTGTTTGACTTGCTCCTTTTCTCATCTGTCTCAGACTGATCCCTTTTCTCACTGTCTCTCTGGCTCCCCAGCATATTAATTCAAATCCTCCCGTGTAGCTCTAGCAAATCTACCCACCAGTATATTGGTCCCTTACCAATTCTGGTGCAACCCATCCTTCTTATACAGGTCACTTCTGCCCCAGAGCAGCAAGGCTCAGAATGGTGTGTTGCCTCCAAGCCAAGATCAAGGATATCTCAGAGAAGGTGCTGAATATTCTTAAAGGGGAGAGGGACCAGCAGGAGGACA